TGTGCGTGCGTGTTTGTGTGCGGATACAATTTTTTGTCGACGATTTCGGGAATACGGATCAACTGATTTGAATAATTTAGAAAACATTCTATTCGTATTAATAAGGAGACATGCTGATTAGTTTTAGGCAAAGGCAGGTCTAGCCGTTTCGAAGGCATGGGGAAAAAAGAACGAAAGAAGGTAATTCTGTTTTTGAGAGAACGAAGCGTATGATTTGAATAATTAAAAAAAAATTATGTATTGACTAAACGAAGAACTGTTTAAATTTTTGTAAAGGCAGCGGTTATGAACTCTCGATATTTCAACAGTATGAAATAGCCGATTTGCATTATTGAAAAAACATTCGGTACTCGATCGCGAGGCGTTTTTGCAAAAGGCACATCCTGCCGTTCCGGAGGTCAGGAGCGCAAAGGGTGTAAAAATGGTCATGCAGTTTTTGAGGAACGGATCATCCATTAGATAAATTCAAAAAAACGTTTTGCTAGTGTAGAAGGTGTGCAAAAAATGGTTTAGAAAAAATGTTGTAGTTTTGAAAAATTTCAAACAAAAAAAAATTCAAAATTTTCAAAAAAAAAAAATTAAATTTTCAAAAACTCAAATTTTTGAAATTTTCATTTTGAAAAGAAAATCTAAATTTCGAAAAATTCGAAAAATATCAAAATTAAAAAAAAAAATTTTTACAAAAATTTGAGAATATGTTTGAATTTTCAAAAAGATCAGATATTATCAAAAATTTCCAAATTCTAAAAACAATAAAAAAACGATTTTTTTCGAAAATTCTAAAAAATTTCGAACTTATAATAAATTTCAAAAAAATCAAATTTCAAAAAAAATTGAAGTAATTTCTTATAACATACACATAAGTGTTTGTAGAATACGCTCGTCGCCCAATAAGCACTTATTAATTTACAGTAAGTAGTTATAATAAATAATGATTTGAAATTATTTAAAACAATTATTGATTATTTTCTTTCCTCGAATTTTTAATTACGATATGGGAAGTTCCAGCAATTTGCCTTACGGCACAATGCCATGCACGAATAATAGACTATATCATCTAATGAGAAAAAATCAATTGCTTAGCGATCAATTATGGGTGCACCTTGGTGAAATATTCAACATGGATTTGGTTGACGATGACGGGGTTTTGTGTCGATCTAGGAAAAGGAATCTTACTTTTTCTAGAAATAAATGTTTTAAAAAGAGAGATTGCTATTTGGAAAGTCAATATTCTTGAAAGCGTTTTTTCCTTGAAATACTAACTTGTATTCAACGTAGAATTCTATTCGAAATAATGCTTTGTTTTTTCAGCAAAAATATCAATTATTGACTATATTAGAATAAATTTTTCGTTTTTTGCATGATAAAAGGGCATTTCTAAAAATAAACTTTACTGCAATAAGTTTTGCTGCGGATGCCAAAACAGATATATCGTGCATAGATGCATTTTCCTGGGAAATCACTTTTTCATGAGAATGGTTTATGTATCATAATCATAACATATAGGGTGTAAGATATATTATGAATAATATTATTAAAGGTATAAAGTGGTACAAATTTACCTTCTAATGACACTGTCTCTCTAAATTCTTCAGTATCTTGTGATTTTGTCGAACTTTGACAATCAGCTAGAGACAAGTACAGCATATGATTAAACATAGCCAAAATACTCGTGAAAGTGGTTCCAAAAATACGTTTTTTTGACATCATGAGAGTTGTCTGTGGAAGAAAAATATAATTATTAGACAAAAAAAAGATTAGATAAATCTATATGTGTATATATATATATATATATATATATTATATATATATATATATATATATACAGAGAGTCCCTGAACTTAACGTCAAGCCAAAACGGGATGAAAACTTAACTGTTCTGACAAAAATTATCTCACGTTGTTTCAAATTATGAGCTTTTAAGTGCGACCTGGAGCTTTAGTGAAATTATGATCATTTTTCGGTTATGTGGTTAATTTTTTTAAATTTAAACTTTACAATTTTCAATTTACTAATTTCCCGTAGGGTAAGTTTAGTAATCGCAACAAAATCGAAAATGAAAATTTTTGCATATCTTTACTTTTCAAAGGTTTCTGAATATTTTAGCATACCTTACAAAAAATGGACGTATGTGTGTGTATGTATGTCTAAATACAATTTTTCGTCCACGATTTCGGGCGCATCGATCAACCGATTTGAATGATTCGATTCCTACAGATGGGGAGATGTACTGATTAGTTTTTAGCGAAGGCAGGTCCAGTCGTTTCGAAGATACGGCGAAAAAAGTGCCAAAATTGGTAATTCAGTTTTTGAGGCTGATGACCTTCGAGATCGATTTTTGATACTTTTTTTGAGCAGTATGACCACCTAGAGAGACTATTGCTTTGCATTTAGCATGTGTGGTAAGTCGGTGAGTGGTGTACATCGATTACGCTGTCGATACTTTTTGAGTACTATCGACGAGAACTATCGATACCGGCAAATATATCGAGCTTAAATATCGATACCAAAAGTACTTACTATCGACCGCAAAGTATCGATCTTTACTCAATACTCGATATATCGTTCTAAAACTAGTTTCGGCTTGACGTTAAGTACTGGGATGCCTGGTATATATTCATATGCAAGTAATGTACTCATACTATTCTGCACATCATAATGTTATAGAATTTTATAGAGATATCCATATTATAATTTATTATAAAATATTTTTTCGTCACAAAGATATAGTATGGTACATAAATTCGTCGACTTCTATTCTACGTATATCTGGATTTCAATGTCGATTTCAGTGAACATTGATTTGACTTCAAGATAAGAACTATAGATGGATATACAACAATGAGGAGCAGTTTTAAAAAAGGAGAAAAAACCTAATCAGGCTTTTTTCTGCACACGTATCATTAAATAGTATAATAAAATTTCTAAAAGCTTCGCTTTCATTCAATTACACAGTTCATTTGAACTAATGGAATTTGCGTGTACAATTTCGTTCTCACTCATAAACGCAAGTAAAGATATCATTAAAACTAAAACGACTTCATTCTGCAGAATAAAATTTATTTGATAAGGATTCTGAAGAATACTTAATTGATAAGATTTAATATCAAAATTATTTATTCTTACCCTGAAGTTTGATTTTGCTATTATCAAGTATATCATATGATATCATAAACTCGTATAAGTACAAACAAGAGTGCCAGTATATTCTAGTTTAAAAGTTCATAAGGGTATATGTATATGGGTCATTCTTTTACAAATCGTACAGATTTTGGGCAAAAAAATATATGACATTTTAGAATTCTGAAAATTTGTTTACAGATACTATTCATAAAATCATTTGACACGTATTTCAGGATTTTGCTTTAAAAATTTTTTTAAATGAAATATTTATGATTGAAATTTGAATAATTTGCTCAATTTTGATGGTCTTCCTCTGCATTAATCTAACATCTCCAGTTGTGGTGAACAGATCAGTATGTTTTTTTTTATTGTACTCATTTTGAATTCAACTTTCTGTTAATTGAAAAAAATAAATTGTTTTTGCAATTTTTTAACAAAAAAAACCAGTCTATTGTTAACATAGGATTTACATACCCTTTCCCCAATTCGGATCGATTGAAATAAACAACATAATTTTTCTTTTACTTTCTACTACAAAATCTTTTTATATGATGTTGGAGGCGCAGATAGTTCCGAAGATATTAAATATTTCTGAGCGCTAGCCGCGCTATCCACTCTGCATTCGTTATGGAACTCATGCGCCTGTACTCATTGCAAAAATTGCAAAAACAATTTTTTTTTTGTCTTTTTGACAAAAAATCTCGACATATCACGTGGGGGAGGGAGGGGTAGAGTAAGATATCACGTGTATTTATTTTTTACCTGATTTTTTAAAAAAAATCAAACATTTTCAAAAAAAAATTTAAAAATTTTACTAATTTATCACGTAACTAAAAATATACGTGATGTTTCGTCGGTGAGAGGGGTAATTTTGAATATCACCATGTATCACCAAGGGGAAGGGGGGGTCCAAAAATCCTTAAAAACTCGCTCACGTGATTAATGGACGCCCCCTATGTATAAATATATTTAACTTAAATAAACAAATTAATTATGTATTTTCTAGTTTTTAAGAAGAAAGATCCAAGTCTTTGGTCAGATGATATATACCGAAGAAGTTGTCTTTGACAGAAAATAGAAACATTGGAGTATTCTAAAGATTCGGGCGCACATGTTTGCAGGCAGTCCTAATGAAACAACATCGGGTAAAAGTTTCAATTATTTCATAAAACAGTATTGTTAGGATTGTTAGATATTAATTATTAGATATGTACTCATGTTTCTTGGCCTCTGATCAACCCAGATAGATGGGCAGGTTTCAAAGAGCAAAATACATCTATTTTTTATATTATTTTCACCTAAAACTGAAGTAAATGTTTTGTACTTTTTAAATTATAACAAAAGATTTTGAATCAGATAATTGCATAATTGAGATGATTTTAAACGCCCATGGATCATTTCAGGAACATCTATCAACAAAATATAACAATTGCTCTATAAGTGAACATTGCGCTCAAATGATGATAAATGGATCAGTTTCTGGTTAACCTTTGACCCACAGGTGAAAAAATAGGTTTAATTCATAATATTTTTTAAATATGCGATATAGTGTTTATTATTTACACAACTTGTTTATTTTAGATTATTGCATTTGATAATCAGCAAAAGATTGAGATGCTGCTTCACAAATTGGTGTAAATTCTTGTCAGATATGTTCCTTAGTATATTCAGAATTGTTTGCCATATATAAGAACAGAATCCCAAGTTTTGCAAGGGATCTTTTCATTGAGCAAAGTAAGTAGTATTTTATTTTATATAAATAGTTTATTTTTGCAATTAAGGGGCCGTATCTTCGGAACGGCTGGACCTGCCTTGGCCAAAAACTATCAGCACGTCAGCCGATCAATAGGAATCAAATGTTTTTTGAATAATTCAAATCGGTTGATCTGTGTTCTCGAGAGCGTCGACGTAAATGTGTATTCGCACATACATACATACATACACACACATATACATTCATTTTAATTAATATTTTGGCTTATTAGGATATGCCAAAATATTCAGAAGACTTTCAAACGTGAAAATAAAAAAAATTCATTTTTGAGTTATTCGCGACTACTATGACAAACTCTACTAGAACTCAAAAAAAAAAATTATAGTAACGCGAACCAAAATTTTATGATAGATCGTTTTTATATTATATGCCAAAAATGACGGACTTACACAGTTCTGTTTATTGTGTCAGCCTGTGGGATAGTAGCTTTGACAATATTATGCAGGACATTTTACATGTTCATTGAAGACAAAAAATAGTTTAATATTCTATGGAAAAAACGCCTGTTACAGATTGCCCCTAGCTCCCCTACATGCAGTGTGGAGTATTAGTACACTAGAACTTGAAAGCTTATAATTATATATGTCTATAAAATATTGTTCAAACTACATAATAGTTGATATATGATAATATTGCGCATAATGAAATTCTAGTACAAGAATGCATAATAGCATCGGAGCGCGTATTTGTGTAGTAGTGCTAGTATAGCATATGAGTATTCGATTGATCAGTACAAAACAGATTGATAACACGTGGTTTGTAAATCACTAATTCCAATGCAATTTCTCGTCTTCGCGCCTAGTTTAACAATGAAATGAAATTCCTTCAAGGTGAATAATAAATTCAGCATACTTTCTGTCAGATTATACAAAAATCTACGTGACGCTCGACTCACCTGGAGTTCATTCCGCGATCTACGAGCAACAGAGAACGCATCAAGTTTTACTCTTAACGAAGATTTGACCGAGTAACGGTCGAAGAATGAACACTTCGGCACACTTTCAATTCACTAAGATAGATCAGAGATAGATAGATCGACGTACAAAGTCTAGGAATTCAATAGTTGAAAATTCAGAATGGTATTTGAATTTGTTACGCACCTGACTTATAAGGAGAACGTCAGGTTTACACGTTTGCGAATTCGACGGAACTTCGCATAGTGATAGTCAATTTTTTTTTAAATATTATAGGCCTATGAGACATTAGTATTGCTCTCTTTGATATTACGCGACTTGCTGAATGCTTTGTTACATACAAATACGTTCAAAAATTTAATAAATATTAACAATTATTAACTACCCGTAGCATAAGTTATAATAATCGCAAAAAAATCGGAAATGAAATTTTTTATGTATCTTTACGTTTCAGACATTTTGGAATACCTTAGAAAAAATGGATGTATGTGTGTGTGTTTGTGCGGATAAAAATTTTCGTCGATTGTTTTGAGAATATGGATCAACCGATGTGAATAATTAACTTCCCGTAGGGCAAGTTATAGTAACCGCAAAAAAATCGAAAATGAAAATTTTTATACATATTTATGTTTCAAAGGTTTCTGAATATTTTGGCATACCCTAGAAAAAAATGGATGTATGTGTGTGTGTGCGTGTGTTTGTGTGTGCGGATACAAATTTTCGTCGACGATTTCGGGAACGCCGATCAACCGATTTGAATAATTCAAAAATCATTCGGTTTGGGACGAAGGAGACGTGTTGATTAGTTTTTGGCGAAAGAAGGTGGAGTCGTTCCGAAGAAACGGGGCTAAAAGTGTCAATAACTCAAAAAACATTTTACTTATATTGACAAGATGAAGAACTGATGAAGGCAGGTCTAGCGGTTACGGACTCTCAATAAAAATAAGTTTAAAAAATGTCATTGGCGGTCAAAAATATTTATTGGACATATGTACGTCAAATTATCAGATGCTTTGTAGAGATTTTAATAATGTGTACCCATTTTGTGTAAATTTTTTTGGGTTTCGTACCAAGATTTTTAATTACGGTACGGGAAGTTCGAGCAATTTGCCTTAAGATGCGATGCCATGCACCCCACTAGTTTAAAAATCATTTAGTTTATTGTGATAAGGAGATTGCTGATTAGTTTTCGGCAAAGGCAGGTCCAGCCGTCTTGAAGATACGGGGCAAAAAGTGCCTAAAGTTGTAATTCAGTTTTTGAGAGAACGAAGCATCCGTTTGAATAATTCTAAATTATTCAAAAAACGTTTTATTTGTATTGACGAAACGAAGAACTGATTAAATTTTTGGGAAGGCAGGTCCAGCGATTTCGGAGATCCATAAAATAAATAACAGAAACGCCATTTGGCATTCAGAAATGATCATTAGAAATTTCAACAATATGTACACACTTTGTTTATATTTCTATGGGTTTCGTACCAATGTTTATCCGTTGGACTGTGATACGACGCTTACGCGCTTCGATATTTTTTCTCTAAAACAGCCACGCAGCACGATTGCTTTCAAAAAAAGTTCAAAATTTTCAGAAAAATTCAATACATAAAAAAATTTCGAGATTCTCAAAATTTTTCAAAATTCTCAAAAATCTCATTTCTTTCAAAGTAATCAAAAAATTTGAATTTAAATTTAAAGGTTTTTTAAAAATTTTAATTTTCGGTAAATTCCAGCAATTCGCCTTTTAGTACGTTTCGACACGAATTATGTACAGTCATTGATTAGTTTATACCGTTCATAAATTCTGAGAGAACACATAAAAAAGTATTGATATTTTTCGAAGTTTTAATTAAAAGTGAAATTCCAAAACATAACAAAAAATACAAATTGTATGTTTAATAAAATTATGATGTTTCTTAGGTAGAAAAATGCATTAACATTACTAATAGATATGTATAGATAGAGTAAAATAATAAATAATGAAAAAGAAAAGTAAGTAAAATATATTGTATCACCGCAGAAAAATATAAAAAACACCATAACCACAAAGGAATGAACAAATGACGTTTATAACAGGCATATTTATGAAACAAAAAAATTGTATAATAAATATATAAACTATTAGTGCATAGTATAGTGCCTTAAAGCAAATTGCTGAAACTTCCCGTACTTTCAAGTTTTTAAAAGCCTTAAATGTTTTTGAATTTTAAATTGAATAGTTTTAACTTCCCGTTGGGTAAGTTATTGTAATCGTCAAAAAATCGAAATTAAAAATTTTTGCAAATCCTCACATTTTGAAGGATTATGATCATTTTGACATACCTTAAAAAAATGGATGCGTGTGTGTGTATGTATGGATACAATTTTTCGCCCACGATTTCCTAAAAAAAATATTTATAGGTTAATTTTTTTAGTTCTAACTGTACATCCATTAGCGATGAATGATTGAAAGAAAGTCAAATCTCTCGAAAAACATGGGGAATGCCGAATGTATAAAGATATTTTTCAATAAAGCTAAGCAAAAACTTTTAACTTCATTTCCACGCGAATGAACTCGCAGGTATATAATAGGTTGTCAAATATCTCCCTTCCGCCTTTTTGTATTATAAACCAATAGCAAAAAAGCGGAAGGGAGATATTTGACAACCTAATATATAAGGCAGGGCGGGGCACAAAGGTTCAATTTTACTTTGAGCAGTTATATTGTGAAAACTAAACGAATTATATCGCAATAAAAACACATATAAAACAAACAACTATCTGACAAGCTCAGTACAACTCCACGCTAATTCGTCATTATAGAAATGTTTTTTGAAGTAAAATTTATTTACACGCGATTAGGGTGTAAATCCGTACAAATGCAACGGAAGTCCGTTACGGCAGAACTGTACGTCATTCGCTTTCGATGAAATCATTTCAATACGGATCGAATATGATTAGTCGTCATGTATGTGAATAGAGATCTGTCGTTGTATGCGTACCGGCATCAACGTTGTATGCGTACATATATCAACAAGGAAATCGGCATAGATAAATCTTGATTTAATGAAAAATGCCTGAATCAGATGAATATTTTACCCTGTTCCTTGAAAATATTGATTAATAAGATTAATGATTAGTAAGTTTATAGATTAGAAATTATTTCTATATTATTCGTAGTTTCTATAAATCTTTGAAGTTATTAAAATTTGTTTAGACGTTGTTTAACATAATCCACTATGTAAACGAATATTATAGAATTTATTAATCAGCAATTACTTCATTTCTCTAATTAAGGTTCATTTCTAAATGCTAATTACAATGAGAAACTGATCATGTCATATTTGAAGTTTGACTTTAATTACATTATTGTTTTTAAATATTATACATATTTTTAGTGTTATTATAAATATATAATTTATAATTTATCATTATATAAATGTGTATAATGGTTGACACTAATAAATGTGTGCATCATAAGGTTTATCATATTACTGATATACATTTTTAAAATTGTTATATGATGTATTTATTTTCACTTAAATGTCTTCTTGTACAGTAGCAAATAAGTTTTACTTGTAATCGCGTATGAACCTTACGCGCACTCTTTTTTTTCTCTATTTTTTCTAAAATTATCAGCTGGGCTTTTTTACTCCATGATGGACGGGGGACGGTTAAAAAGGAACAGCCAGAGGACATACAGGTTCAATGTCCTATTTTTAATTTTAAATTGACTTTACGAAATTAGCTACATTATACAACAAATACAAGCTACATTATTCAACCAATGAAAATATAAATTTCATGGATACAATTTTTTACAGAGATAACACTGTATATAACCTTGATCTGGTATTTTGTCAGAAATATTCCGCAGCAAAATTGAAATAAATATTAATTTAATTCATCCTTTATAAACTTGATATTTTCAACTTAATTTACTATTTTTAATTTGTATTGTTTACACCTTTTCCAAGGTAAATGTTCGTTCAGTTAGTCCTTTTTACCCCACCCATGTGTAAGTGTTAATCGCAGTTATATAAAGAACTGTTGAATCTACCTTAAAATGAAC